GGGGGGGGGGGGGTCATAAGTGGGGTAGCTCATAAGTGTGGGAAGGCTTTTAAGTGGGGTTGCTTGTAAGTGGGCGTATAAGTGGGGGATGGGCGCGTATAAGTGGCAAAATTGATTTTCCTTATACAAATGTACGAGGTTTGGGTGGCTTGTGACTAAATAATAGATCAAGGGCTTTTAAATTTTAAAAGAAAGGGAAATTGAGGTAACCGTGGAGGTTTCAGTGATAAATATATCTGTATGCTTTGATAATATTTACACTATGTTTTTATTTTCCTTTAGGTTAAAGTCTAATGAGAACGTAGACAATGTCAATCAGAAAAGCATGCCATATCAGCCATTATCACGCTGCAATCAAGGCTTTGATTACCATCCTGGTGATTAGTAAAGTTTCACAACCAGACATCTTTGCTGCTAAAGAAGAAAATAGAACCTGTAAGCGAGAAAAGTTGAAGACATTAAAGAATGGGCGTCATCTTGACTAAATTCCCACTTCCTGTAGATGTAGAAGATTAGTACAGCTGTAACATAGTGGAAGCCATACAATCATGCTGAACATGAGCTGAAAGATTTGTGATAATTTAAGTTATGGTGATTTAAACAAGAAAACTTTTCATGAAAATGATAACTATGGATGTCGGTTTTAAAACTTTTGAAAATTTTGTGAAGAAGCTGGCATGGGATTAGCCAAGGAGAATGGCTGAACGTTCTCCTTGTGAAAGTTTTTCATTAGAACAGCCCATACAAGCCCAAAATTCTGAACTCAGGATAATCAACAATAACTTAAAGTCAACGAGAATTTGTCATTGCTTGGTTGGTAGTATAAGCCAAACCAAAAAAGCTATGGTGGGAGGCGGAGGGGGAGAAGATCTTGGAGACCTTGAGAATCACTCTTTCTGTTGTATGAATAATTTAAGTAGACTGCCTCTAAAACAGAAAATTTAGAGTACATGAAATTGTCAAAATCGGATTTGGGAAAACATGATCCCTTCAACCTGCAGGGCTGTGACTAAGGGTTGGGATTTTCTCTGGCTTCTTGGAGAAGAGACAAAATAGAATATAAAGAACATTGCTGCTAGCCGTTCAATTTCCCACTACTGAATGCATATACCCAGAAACATGAAAGCTTAGTGACAGCCCTGCTTAAACCCAAGGCAAACTTCTCCCTCACCCTTGTACCCATAGTTTTTTTAGAAATATTGCTTCAGAATTATTATTTATATAGCACATATGTAAATCTTTAAAACAATTTTATATTTTAAAGTAAAACATGTGACGAATTAGTAGTATTTGTAAACTAAAAACACTATTTTTGCTAAAGCACCGAGAAATATTTTACCATTGATTTTAGGCTAAGAAATTGTTGTGTGAGGAAATAAAAAATGATGTCACTTACCATCAAGTGAGTATTGATACACCCTAGCTACAGCGTTAACAACAGAAACCGACTACTTATAACATTGATATGTGTATACATTTTGCCAAACATCATTTCTTGGACAGTTTTGACTATAAAAAAAATTAATTAAAAATAGGAAATTTTATGTTTCATGCCAAAAACACAACCCTTTAGAAAAAACCCACATTGGCTACCATTCAAATTTGAATAATTCCAGGTGCCCTTGTAACCACTCAAGAACATTCCCAAAAACCATTTTCAATGTATTTTTACCATACACAAAATAAAAGAAATTATTTCAGATTTTGATCCCAGTCATGGGCTAACCCCTTAAGAAAAATCCCAAAATATGGCTGTCGGCCTAAATCAAAATGTTGGTATTTTAAATGGTCCAGGTGCGCTTGTTACCACCCCAAAACTGTGCCAAAAACCATTTCTCAATGTATTTTTACCGTACACAAAAACAGAAGAAATTTCTAATGTTGACACAAAATCATGGGCTAACCCCGTTAGAAAATCCCAAATTGTCGCTGGCGGCGTAAATGGAAATTTTGGTATTCTTCATGGCCCAGATGCCCTCACTACCACTCCAAAACATTGCCAAACCCATATAGAAGTAGAAGAAATTTCAAATTTTGACTGAAAATCATGGGCTAACCCCTTGGCTTTAAAAAAACTCCCAAAACATGGCTGTCGGCCAAAGCTGTAATATTGGTGTTCTAAATGGCCCATGTCTTACCAAATGGTAAACACCATTTTAATCTGCAACAAAAATTTACATGCTTTGCAATAAAAAGGTATAAATATACCTGTAGTTGTGCATTTGATCATATACCTAAATATCAATATTTTGTACACAAGAAATAAATTCAGGAACATTATATTTACTTGGATCCACTTTACTAAAAAACTTGGACTTTCCGAACCAGTTTGACAGCTGACAGGCTTGCCAAAGTAGGCCCCAGACAAATTTTAAACAAACTTAGTTATAATGGATCCCTTTCAATGACCATGTTTTGATTTAAAAGCAAGCTGCTAATAAAAATTTCAGTCTTGATATAATTTATAAAGATTTTTCATACACATATTTAGGCTGTATTTAATTTAATGCACATTTCTGTATTTACTTGAATAAGTGCTGCATTATTAAAGCCCACCCTTGAATGAGCAAATGAGCAAAAATTTAGGCAAATGAGTTAATTAGCGCTGCCCACGAATAAGCACTGTGGCCTAGATGCAATCAACATCAAACGGCGCTCTGTTAGTTTAATATGGGAAATAATACCATTATAACTTAAAACAATACTTTGTTGTCCCCCTCTAATAATTGCCCCATTTAAGGCCCTGAAAAACTTAATAAGCGTTGCAGTGGTTATTCAAATAAATATGATATATCTTTCCTTGGACTTAACAGAAGCCTCACATCATTTTGGCCTTCAGGCTTTGTATGCACTCTTTCTTCCTGTGATGTACCAGTATCTCTCAAGGAACCCTATTGTCCTGGCCACGTCAGTCGTACAAGACTGAATAAAACTATCCATTGGATAGCACATTAGATTGCTTTATCCACATGGATAGCACTAGCCATCTTTTGAACAATGAGGACCAGTACTGTAAAGATAATTTAAATACCCGCATGGCAGGGTAAGAAAATGAAATAAAGGAAGATTATCTTACTAAAGCTATTTCCATAATAGAGTGGTTTTCGTTTGAGTGTCGTAAAACCAAAACCAAAGTAATTACTCTGGCCAATCACATAGGACACAGACAATACATTGAACCAATCAAAACTCGAAGTAATTACATGTGGCTGACGCAAAGCGCGGGAAATGCATGCGAGCGCGTCACAATTGGCTTTGGTTTTACTTCTGATTGGATGAAAAGGTGGCGCGAATCTTTTAAGCCAATCGCATCGTGTAGAAAGTGCAAAACCAATTACTTTTCGACACTCAAATGAAAACCGCTCTAGACTGTCACTGACTTTCTATTGGTTCACTGGCATAACCTGTGTGAAACGAAGGAGTGTAATTTACAGACTCTTCAAGTGATTTGCTCTATGTCAGCAAACCAATATGAAAGTTGGGCCTATTCCCTACACTAAATAACTTAGGGGAAAATAAACGTATTTTCTGGTGCAGAAATTTTTTTTTATGGAATTGAGCCAGTATAATAAACGACAGTTTTTTTCAAAAAACAACCTCAGTATGTTCAACCTTAAAAATGTTCAATCTCTGGATTAGGTGGCCACCCTATATTAAGTGGCTAGCAAGAAAAGACTAGTAAATTACCTGTTTATTATAATGGAAAGTTCTCCTACTGTTGTCACCTCTATTAGCAGCCATCAAGTGCTTGATTATAGCAAGCCCGTTGAGGCATTATTCAATTTTTGAATTCAATGTTAAATAATATTAGAAACTGAAGTTCAATGTCAGTTCAATTTTAGTTCAATGAAATTCTCCCGACAAAGTCAATTCATTGGTAATTCAGTTGAATTGAAATTGAATTGCATTGAATTGGAATTGAATGTAAGTGTTGAATAATGCTACAATCAGCTTGCCATACTTGATACACTCAGTTGGGCTATGAAGAAGAATTTGACGAAGGAAACTATAGTCCCAGAGAGGTGATGACGGATTGTGGACCACTAATGCTCCTTCCGTTACATGTTTCTTTCAAAATAAAATGATATTTCTGCTAAAGTTATGCTAATTATGCTAACTTATGATAAACCTCTATTGAGTGGCCAACCTCCATTAAGTGGCCACTTGCTGGTATCGGACGGTGGCCACTTAATAGGGGTTTACCTTTATTTTTTTGGTTCTCAGATGTCCTTAAAAATTGGAAATATCTGCGACCATTTTGCAGCAGGCAAAGCAACAACCAAAGTCAACTGACCATCATGAACTTATCGGTGTCACTGCTGATGCTAGGCATAAAATATTCAAATCATGTGCCCAGGGGGGTACTCCAGATTTCAAGTGACAGGGATTATCGAGTGGGGAAAAAATCAAAACCCAAAAAAATCCCTGCACCAAAAATATTAAACCATTAAATGATGTAACATAAAAAAATAAAAACATTGAATGTTTTTAAATTGAATGTTTGAGTTGTACCTATTTGCAGAACTACACAGCCCGGATACGCAGGTGCTACCACAAATCTTCAGATTGTTTTGAATACCCCAAAAAATCCCTACTTAAATCAAGCAACCCCAAAAATCGTTCAATCATCTGCATCACTTAAAATGTGCAGTACCACACCCTGGGATCATGGGATCTATAATAATAAGTGGATATGAGCATTATTAATGCCACATTAAAATAGGTATCGCTGCCAAGCCAAATAAAATACAGCTTTCACAAGTTGTGAACTTGCAACACCAGTGTGATCAGTGATGTCACTAGACAGGCGGGGGAGCTGAAGGCGTTTGTATTGCACCATATGACGGTTTAGGAGTGTAAACTCCTCCTGATCTACCCTGTGTTGCTGCACTATAAGGGGGAGGTTGATCATTTGTTGCAGTTGTCCCAGGGTTGTATGGTGGAGGAACGGCCGTCTGATGTTGTTCATACTGAGGTGGGGGGTAGTATTGGTAGCCTTGTTGGTAGGGTGGAGGTATCTGTCCCACGTAGGGTGGGTAAGGCTGCGGTGTAGTTCTCGTTGTCCTCACGGTCGCTGTTGTAACTCTCTGTCCTACAATCACTCTTCCATGGTGAACTCGACGCCTTCTGCAAGCGTAGTAAAAGCACATGGAGAGCAAACAAGAGAAGATGAGAACGCCACACACTGACCCGATGATAACGGCCGTAGGATCATAACAGACTGAATCGTACGAACACTTTCCGTCACAACAGTACTCATAGAATCCACAATCTGTGTCACTAGAACATGAATAACCCAAACAGTCAGATCTGCATCGACCGCTACAGCAACTGAGTGAACTCTCAGAGGTGGCGCAATCGGAATTATCGGAACAAACTTGACCGAGGCAGCTTGAACCAGAAATACAAAAATGATTGCAACACACTTCAGATGAACTGCAGGAACTTGAGTCATACCGATAACACCACCCATAACTCTCAGCGAAAAAACAAGAACTAACAGTTAAAAGTACAATCAGCAAAGCTCGGAATGTAAAAACAGCCATGGCTTTTCCTGGATCGACTTGCTTGAATGTTGTCCAATATGGCTTCCACGAATCACGCTAACAACGACGTCATGACTAAAATCCTGACCTGGTGGGGGAGGGACAGGATAGTAAACCTCCCTATCTTCCATCTCTATCTCCTCCCTACTTTTTGGGCAATTTCTTCCTCCTATCTTGACTTAAGCCTTCGAGGAGCCATAAACCTATTTACATCGGGTTTTTGTGTTTCTTGGGTCTGGACACATTTAATTTGTTGGGTGAGCCACAGTTGACTCGAGCCCCGGAGGGGGCACTTGGGTATTTTTTGGGTGAGTATGTGCCGCCCAGGACTCCAAATTGGAACCCCGTTCTAAAAAATATTTCCGCTAAAATTAATACCCCGATCTAGAATTCGCCCTAAAACTGATACCCCGTTCTAGAAATGGGCTAATTTTTTATACTCCGTTCTAGAAAGTTTGTTAATTGAAATGGCCCTGTTTTTTCAAAAAGATATTTCTTTATTTGTTCGACTTATACACCAAATAAATGCTTCTTCATAATCATCCGAAGTACTGGAGCTCTCATCCATTCGAAATATTATACCCCGTTCTAGAAAACGCCTCTGAAATGGATACCCCGTTCTAAATCCACGACCCCATTGGGCAGCACATACCAACCACTGCAGGCCTCTAGCCTGTGTACAGACGTCCCCCCTCCCTCAGAAAAAAATCGAGAGAAAAAGAGTCTCTTTCCCGATTTTTTCTGAGGAAGTGGGGACGTCTGTACACAGGCTACAGGCCTCTTGATGGGGGAAATTGCAAAAACGGGAAACAAAACAGCAATGGAGTGGAAAGGGTTAGCCCATTCTACCACTTTCCTTCCTCTGTCTAGTTCCTTGCCATCTCTTTGTGATTTCTTAGTATCCTCCTTACCCCAGGGGAGAGCATGTTCACAGGATTCTCTACTTCAAAACAAGAGTATGGTGACCACCATTTTTTAAATTTTATTTTCATGACTAGTGCCTCCTTTCAATGAAAACCAAATTGGCAAAATCTATGTTCAGGTTTTTTTTTTACCATTTTATTGAATATATTGCAAAGCTAGATAGAGCTAAAATGAGCCGAATTGCACACATCAAAACCTGAGCCTTCACTTTTTGTAGCATTCAGATGCAAAGTTATTCAATAAAACAAGTAGGCAGGGAATCAGACAGCTAGGGATTTCTTTTGCTTCAATTTTTCTTCTATTTTCCCATGAAAGTAACTGGGGGCCCGCCTCTTAATAAAAGCCATGTGGACAAGAACAGAATAAAGCCAATTTCTGTGAAATATCAATAATTATTGTATCAAGGAAGAAGCCATGCCCATTTGTCTAGTTTTGGGCTCTCCACAGTTATTGCCAAAGACCCCTAAGTAGCAGTATTCATCAGCATTGTGTGGTAAAAATGAGCTGTTAGTAACCCCTACTTTCACACATTTTTATCATCTTCTTGTTGACTTGTTACATCAGTTTACGAAATTTCATTGAAAATCTATGTTAGTTTCTTTCGCTAGGGAAACAGCTTGAGTAAATTAAAATACATAAACATATGCTTTGCATTTAGGCTTGGCTAAATCTTATTATTAAATCTTGTTATTATTATTTATTATTGTTTTATTATCATATTTATTATTATTAGTATGTGCGCCTTGATAACCAAAGTCAAATGAGGCAAAAAAATGTAGTAATATTATTACTCTGCTGATAAAGCCTGCATGAACTTTCACAAGGACAACAAAGTCACTCTGACAGGATTTCCTCATCCCCCTTGTTGGGATTTTGGTGACCAATTATGTTTCCATATTGGGGATTAAAGCTGGTATCTCCCTTATTACCATTTATGGGATCGATCGAGGAGGGTGTTTTGCACAGATATTCATGTCTATGAAAGCTGAAATCAATGCAATAATTGTCAATAACTTAGAACTAACACAAAATAAAAATTTATTACTTTTTTATCTCAGTTGTCTTTGAAACATCTGCTGGACCATACCATGATAATTTATGTAGCAGAATTAACAACCACTGAAGTCAAGAAATGGTCAGGATCCTTATGAATTTCATGACTTGTGACTCTGTTTGTCGCTAGGCATTAAAAATTATACAAAATATTCAAGTCATGAGATGAAAAATAATGTGTGACAAGGACATCATTAGTTCCAAACTTTGACAGACCCAACACCAAACAGTCCATTTTAAAAATGCGTATACCCTCCNCCTGAGCCTTCACTTTTTGTAGCATTCAGATGCAAAGTTATTCAATAAAACAAGTAGGCAGGGAATCAGACAGCTAGGGATTTCTTTTGCTTCAATTTTTCTTCTATTTTCCCATGAAAGTAACTGGGGGCCCGCCTCTTAATAAAAGCCATGTGGACAAGAACAGAATAAAGCCAATTTCTGTGAAATATCAATAATTATTGTATCAAGGAAGAAGCCATGCCCATTTGTCTAGTTTTGGGCTCTCCACAGTTATTGCCAAAGACCCCTAAGTAGCAGTATTCATCAGCATTGTGTGGTAAAAATGAGCTGTTAGTAACCCCTACTTTCACACATTTTTATCATCTTCTTGTTGACTTGTTACATCAGTTTACGAAATTTCATTGAAAATCTATGTTAGTTTCTTTCGCTAGGGAAACAGCTTGAGTAAATTAAAATACATAAACATATGCTTTGCATTTAGGCTTGGCTAAATCTTATTATTAAATCTTGTTATTATTATTTATTATTGTTTTATTATCATATTTATTATTATTAGTATGTGCGCCTTGATAACCAAAGTCAAATGAGGCAAAAAAATGTAGTAATATTATTACTCTGCTGATAAAGCCTGCATGAACTTTCACAAGGACAACAAAGTCACTCTGACAGGATTTCCTCATCCCCCTTGTTGGGATTTTGGTGACCAATTATGTTTCCATATTGGGGATTAAAGCTGGTATCTCCCTTATTACCATTTATGGGATCGATCGAGGAGGGTGTTTTGCACAGATATTCATGTCTATGAAAGCTGAAATCAATGCAATAATTGTCAATAACTTAGAACTAACACAAAATAAAAATTTATTACTTTTTTATCTCAGTTGTCTTTGAAACATCTGCTGGACCATACCATGATAATTTATGTAGCAGAATTAACAACCACTGAAGTCAAGAAATGGTCAGGATCCTTATGAATTTCATGACTTGTGACTCTGTTTGTCGCTAGGCATTAAAAATTATACAAAATATTCAAGTCATGAGATGAAAAATAATGTGTGACAAGGACATCATTAGTTCCAAACTTTGACAGACCCAACACCAAACAGTCCATTTTAAAAATGCGTATACCCTCCTGATCTATCCTGTGTTGCTGTACTGTAAGGGGGAGGTTGTTCATTTTCTACTGTTGTCCCATGGTTATATAATGGTGGAGGTATGGCCGTCTGATGTTGTTCATACTGAGGTGGGGGATAGCATTGGTAGCCTTGATGGTAGGGTGGAGGTATCTGCCCTACGTAGGGTGGGTTAGGCAGCGGTACAGTTCTTGTTGTGGTCCTAACGGTCGTGTTTGAAACTCTCTGCTCTACAACCATCCTTCTATATTGAGTTCGGCGTCTTCGGCAAGCGTAGTAAAAGCATATGGAGACCAAACAAGCGAAGATGAGCAAGCCTGCACACACGGAACCGATAGTTACGGCCGTATAATCATAACCATCATTATAACTGCAGGCTGAATCGAGCGAGCATGTTCCATAACAACAAATGTCTGAGAATTCACAATCTGAGTCAGTAGAACATGAGTAACTACAGTGAGATCTGCGGCATCGACTCGAACAACAAAATAGCAAACCACAATCGGAATCGGTGGAACAATAATGACCGAGACAGTCAGAGCCGAAAACACATTCATTGATACAACAAACTTGACCTGTTTTGCAGGAATTCGAGTCATACTGGGAACACCGGCCATTACTCACAGCAAAATGGGAGGAAGCAAGAGTTACAACTACAGTCAACGAGGCTCTGAATGTAAAAACGGACGCCATAGTTTCTTTTCCGCAAAGTCACACCAGAAATGACGTCATTATACAGCACCATATGTTCCTCTAGGAGAATTTACTCCCCCTGATTCCGTTTCTATTCCTACACTGTAAGCATAAGAGGGAGGATGATCACTTGCAACCGCTTCCCCAAAGCTGTTTGGAGGAGGCGAGGCCGACTGATGTTGTTCGTATTGAGGAGGAGGGTAGTCTGGGTGGCTATGTTGGTATGAAGGTGGTCTCTGTCCAGGGTAGGGTGGGGTACCTTCCGATGCATTTCTTGCGGTCGTAACATTGCTGGTTAAAACCCTTTGTCCTCTCCGGAGAACTTGGTGTTGGCGGTAAACGTAGCAGTAAAGGCAGGCAAAGAATAAACAGGCGATAATAACCACGCCCGCTATTACAGCGTAAGTTACGATTGGAGTGGTATCTGGGGAATCATAACTGGATGATTTAGGTGATCCGCGATCTGATTTAGTAAAATATAAATATCCCAGACAGTCAGATCTGCATCGACTCTCACAACAACTTTCAGAGACAGCGCAATCGGAATCCACGGAGCAAAACCGACCGAGGCAGCCAGAACCAAAAAAACATTCATTTTTGCAACAAACTTGAATTTCAAAACTACAAGAACTTGAGTTAGACTGAGTACACCAACCAATGCTCACAGCGAAAAGCGAGCAAGCAACAGCTAATAGCACAAGTAGTAATACTTGATGAGAAGCCATAACTCTTTTCTCTGAACGACTGGTTTGAATATTCATGAAAGGTAAGTCTCCCAAAGGTCTCAGCTGAAGGTCTTCCAAGAATAAGCCTTTTTTTTATTTCCGCATAGATTGATCACGTGATCAATTTTCTCTAAACACGAAAACAATTCGCTTTTGAAACATTTTGTTAGCACGAACTGAAAGAGCATATTAAAGTTAGGTACACTATAAATTTTCAGCCATATATTTCAAAAGTAGCGATTGTAACGGCCGCCGAAAATTAGAAGGATTTGTCTGGGCCGGAAACACAACTCTTGCCACCCAGTCACGCTTGTGTGGTTTTCACAAAACGCACAGAACGCACTCAATTGAACCAATTATGCCACACTGTTAGTTGACATGTAACATTTTTACACATGTACATTTAATTTTGACGCTTGCAAATAAGCTTTCATGTCTATTATAATTTTTTAAAACTCAAATGGTGCGAAATTGTCATTTCTAGCCAGTTTTGGGCAAAAATAAAGGCCTTTCGACATGTAAATGCTCGTGTGATTTGATTCAGACTGTCTTGTCGTCATTTTTTGAGAAGTCTTTATTTTCTCAATGCCCTTCAAAGTGATAATAATAGTTGTAGAGTCTGTGCTCTTGGGCATAAATATATTCTTGGGCATAAATATGTTTTGGCCCTGCTACCATAAACTCTATTGTTTTATTATAAGTTGTTCAAAGGCCATTTTGTGGATCAAAGGGTTTATCTACATAGCTAAGCTTCATTAAATTGTGCTCGTAAAGGAGCACAATATGCCACTATACTAGCAGTGCTCATTAGAATTTTCTGAAATCATTTCAGAAAGTTATGAGCATTAGTTATTCCAAAACCTGATATGCTAGCTTTTTTCGAAATTGCTGATATTAGCACAAATGCAGAAAACAACCACGTAACATTTCGGTCAAATATTCAGACACTACAAATATACCTGAAGTCAACAAATTTAATATTAGAAACAAAAGGTTAAATTGCACATACTTCATTACATACTTCCGGACAAATTATGCTGATCTCGTGCCAAAATAATGGTAGTATCGATCAATAAATGACCTATTTTGAAATACAAAAGGAGCCAAAAATACATAATATGTCAAAAGCGCTTTTTTCGGGAAAATGATGGAAGGCATTATCGCAAGGATGAATTTTGCCGAAAATTGTGCTATCACAACTCATACTTCCAGCATCGAAAAAGTGGGAGAAACTTCAAGGTGTAATGATCCGCAAGGATGGCACTTGAGACACGAAATCAAGCGTATCAAACTTTAATCAAAACTCCATGATAATCGGCAAGCATGCTCTACAATATCCCATGATTCAAATCAAGCTCAAAATATCCAGACTTCCAGTAGAAATATCTCAATACATTACACACGGTACTTCCTACTTAATTTATAATATATTAAAAAGCTTTCTGATAGGAATGGGTTCACCAGGGGCTTAACCTTCCTAAATGTATATAGTGATGCCCTCTCAGTACATTCAAATAAAGAAAAACACTCAAAATACCATGGCGAAGTAAGAAAGTGTCGTTGCCTCTTTGAAAACCTTGAAATGCCATGGGATGAAAAAACAAACAGACAAACAATAACATGAATCTTAGATAGCCTTCTAAAAAGACGTTCTTAGGGCTTCGCCATTCATTCCGATCGGCAGAAGCGTCTGCTCGGGAGGCTAAACCCCCCGGGGGGCACCTCCTATAATGACCTATACGGGGAGGCTCCGCCCGAAAGGGGTACCTTTTTCAGGCTTAAGGTAAAATCAAAGGGTAGGGAATTCGGCATGAGTTAAAGTGTATGAAAGGGTTTGAAAATCTACTGAAATGTTTCGAAAAGACGCACATTATGCTATATAATTTGTACAGAAAAGTATCGTTGGTTGAGTGAGGGGCACCCATGTAATATTCTTTCACACTGCAAAATCGCCATAGCGCGCTACCTAATGAACTACGAGCGTTCCCTTAATAAACTGAGTGCTGTAAAATAACGCTCATTCCCAGTATCTCTACTTTTTTTGCAAAGGACAAAGGAGAGTGGCGCTGGGGGCCCTGGGAACGATGTTGCACAGCATTAACGTGACTGCATGGCTGACATCACAGCGTCGTGTATAGATGGGAACAGTGCGTGATGATCAACTGCTGTAATCGCAGACTTTTCAGATGAATTTGTGAGTTTTCTGGTTAGAGTCGCTGCAACAAAGCAATAAAAATAAATTACAAAAGAGAAAATAAATAAAGCGATGAAGTAGATAACGAAAAGACCTTCTTTACAGTTTAAAGGGGGTTGTAACACGTGGAAGATCACAAAGTTTGCTTAGAGATTCTAAGCCATACATTTCGTACGTCATCAAAAACGCCACGTTTGTTCAAGAGTGAAACCTGGATAGCGCTATTCAGCGGATAAGAGTTAGGCCGAAAGCCAATTGCACTACCAAGTGGAAAGTCTGACTGAATATTCAGTGGCAGGAACAAAGTATTAGCCTTTAACATCCTCCTTCGCTTCTACTGAGTTTCTCGGCGTGCTTGGCACTGGCGGCATGTATTAATTTTGGTTTTAGTTCAAATGATGTGCCTGAGAAATTTATAAGAAGTACTTACAGGAACAGCCAGCCAGGTAAATATCAACTCCAAGCTTTTTAAACTCTGACATTAGCTGAAACAGAAGAGAGGGTAGAGGTTACTTTATTGTACAGAACATCAACAAAAGCGAGTAGATGGACTAACGTGTCGACTGGATGAGAGGGCGTTAAGATTGAATATTTGGCGGATAAGGGATGATTTAAAAAAAAGCACTACACAATAAAAGGGGGTAATTAAAAACAAATGGCCAAATTTTTAATGGTCCCAAATACGATGTCACCTTGCGTATGGTACAAAACGGGAGCTGGGGACTCCAGGTGGAAGTTTTTTCGCCTGTGCAAGCGCCTCGCGAGGGAATTTTCCGCCATCGGCGACTTGAAGTCCCCACGTAGCTACCCGTGTTCGAGCAAAACTCTCGCACTCGAATTCCCGCCAGCAACGCGACTACAAAAGTGGTTTTTGAAAGTGGACTGGAAGTAAGACAAGATGCACTTTTCAGATGCAAAGATATACTCACCGATGGAATAGCGTGCAAAGCCATTGAATCAATGAAGGTGAAGCTGCTACCATCAATTATAACTGTGTGAATTCGTTTCTCCGACGTCTCGACCTCGACTGCCATATGGCCGTTGTTGTCGTTTATTTTCTGTTTATAGAACAATCACGGACCAGTCAAGCAATATACATAACTTTTCATCATGGTTTAATAGGGGCGCAATAAACCCACGCGAAATTGATAACAGAAGCAGAGAAAAGTTTTCTGACTAAGAAGTTTTCTATAAATTTTTCACCAGTAAAAAACAAACAAACAAACAAACAACAGGCTGGGTGAACAATTAGAGCGGGCGTAATATCGCTTTACAAGACCGGTTCATGCTACGTTGTGCCCGATGTACACATTACGATTTGCTGGACCAGTCTGGGGAACATTTTCTAAAGAAAACTTATGACCAACAAAATCGTTTCAATTTTAATTGGATATACCGTAAATGATCTAGTAGACACCCGGGATTTTATTTACTGAAATTTGAGGGTTCAAGGGGATGTCGCTGTTTAATAGATAGGTGGCGTTCAAAAGAGAAGGGCGTTTATTACCATAACTGTGAATAGCGTTCTTTCAGCGAAAATACTAAAAGGGTTAACAAATAGTAGAATATCCAGTCCACCCATTATCATTCAAATCTCAAATCCGATTTCAGAATCGTCGTTCAGGGTCATTGTGTTGTCATCGTTAGCCATTCCTAATGACATTAAAGCTGAGATAGAACAAGATGCAATACACAAACCCTCGTTAAAGCAGGAAACTGAATAAATTGAACGATTTTTCTCCTTTTTCTATTTCCCAGTATTTTGTAGTAATTTTCGAAGGGTAGGGGAGCGTCTATTAGACAGGGGCAAGAGAGAATGAGCTTCTCTCTTGACAGGGGGCGTTTCTCAGAGAGGAGCTGGTCTAATACCAACTTCACATCGTAGGGGAGGCGTTTATTACAAGTAGACAAGAGGAGTTTATTTGAGAGGAGACTTCAACGGGATCATTTACGGTATGCTGTATTAAAATTTAAGCAGGCCCGCTGGCAGTCTTACCTCTAATTTTGGTTGTCCTTCAGTGTTGGGATCTAGTCCGGTAACCGTATAAAGGGCATTCCTGAAGCGCTCCACATTACCGAAGTACAACGTGGACTCAAATCTAAGCACCTTTATTCCAGATACCTCCGTGGCCTTCAGAGAAAAACAACATAATTAAGATACGCCCTCCGGACTGAACGAGCTGTTTAAAGAATATTCTTACACTTGCAACTTAAAACTGTTTTACATTTACTATTTGCCGTCTCTTCTATTGTTACAAAGTGTAGGGAACAACACTAACAAAGTAATAATCGGGGGTTAGGTAAGGATCGTTCTTATCTTAACAGACGTACCAAAGGACAGTTTCCAGTATCACGGTACAATTCTGTTTCTGTCACGCGTCCAAGTATAGCATAGTTTGACCTGAGAACAACAAAATATGTTATTTGACAAGCGTGAACGTTTTCTTTGTTTTTCGTTTTTACAGCTGCCCATAAGTATGTAAAAATTAGGAGAAGGCCAATTTCCGGATATCTTGACCGAGAAAAATTGGTCAATTAAGGATTTACTAAATGGGCAAAAGAAGGGGACAAAGCAGGCAACATAGATCCCGCCATCTTGTCTGCTCGGGTAGCCAATCAAGACTCACTTGCGTGGCAGGCGGTCAAAAGGGAAAGCTAAGGTTAGGATCTCGAGCGCGCGAGGAAGAAGGGAAGGGTACAGAACGCGAACCGCGAAACTAAGGCAGTCTGTATCAAGTAATAGACCAACTGGTCTATTGATGGTAGGGCTGACTGACTGGTTTTACGGACTCGGTCGGACAAAAGAGACAGTCAGTATAAAGAACTGATTGAAATCCAGGAACACGACAGACTGACAAATGGGAAGACAGGAAGATTCACAGAACTAAGCGACAGGTTTCTCGCATTCTGACGGAACTGATAGATAGTTAATTCTCTCAGTTTGTTCGATTGACTTACTAATTCCTTTTCCGATTGTTTACTTACCTGGAAAGGACTACAACAACAACAAACAGTGCACAAATGAGCCCGATACCAAGTCCTACATCCACTCCCATCAATATGACTCCAAAACAAGAAACGAACCAGACAATCTGAAAATAAACAAATCGTCAGGCATTTGTTTGCATAGATGGGTTGCGAAATTTATGAACTCCCTGCAATACGATTTCACTGCTTCTTTGAATCCACGTACTATGTTGAAATAATCACCTAGCGCACCTTAGTACGGCCATTAGAGTACTTATATGTTAAAGGTGTTTTAGTAAGCATCCTATAGAAAGCACCAGCCGACATTAACAGTAAGCTCACAGTACGCCGAGAGCACGCTCCACATACGCGCGTTATGGTAAGCTTTAGTGATATAAATGTAGCCCACTACGATTTAAATACTTTTTAAGACCGCTCCAGGGATATGTTCAAAGTAAACTCGCAGTTCCCTTACATACGCGCGGGAACGCCCCATGTATCGTTAACATAAATACATAGTGCATTGTTGTAACCTTTTTAGAATATCAAGAGTAAGCTGATGGGTACCTTTAAAACCAGAGGCCAAAAATAGTATTTCTGATGTTTTAAAGACATTAACGTTTCATTTTTTCATATATATCATATTACGGATGCACAATCAAACAGAGCGGTGTTTCCATTTTCGTGGGAAAGAGCGCTCCAAATGTTGCTAAAAATAAGCTGATCTGTGAAAATGCCCTTGTATAGGCTAAGTATGGCGGGGAGTTGCACGATCCTGCTAAAGGGTTCCTGCCTTCCCACAAGATGCACTTTCTCAAATAACTACAAATGCTTAGAGATCCTTGGATACACTGGCTTTGTTTCGTAATGATTATTTTTTAGTGACCCAAATCTCACCGCGTCTGGTTTATCTATTCTCCACAAAACTGGAAATCTGGAAAATTGCTTCAGCAGACCAACAAGGTTGGCGATGACAACAGCAGCTAGGATGGCCTGAAACAGGATAAAGGATACAATAACTGTATAAGAACACACTGATAAACCGGCGCTAAAGGGTGATTGCAAATGAACTTAGTCCTTCGTTACCTTGGGAAGATGGAAGAAAAGTGGGGCAATAAACAGCAGCACCAGAAGAATCAGGACGATCACAACTATGCTGCAAAGCTGTGGAATAGAATATACTTTAGTGATACTATACACTATACGGCGGATAAACATTGAGAAACCCAATTGCTCTATCAACGGGGTAAACCTTTGTCCCGTGCCTGTGGATAACAACATCCACGTTTAAAACATCTACAACCAGAACCAACCTATGCCTGTAAGCATTTCAATAAGCAATATTAAATATGCGTGGCGACTTTGCAGGCTTTTATTATTCTCTAATACTTTTTTTAAAATTTACTTTATCTTTATATAAATTTTTTGTGTATGAGCTTCTTGTAAACTTCGTGTAAAGGCTGTAAATAGTTTTGTTATTTATTTATTTTTATTATATGCTGTTTATAGATGTTGTTATTTTGTGGTCAATAAAAATAGTTACCTGTGTGACGGCGAGGTTATCTTCAACCACTGACCTCGCCAAAGCGTTGCAAATCGGAAAACAAGAGAAGAATGAACCTACGAAGTTACCCGCACCATACGCTATCAGCTCCTGGGAGGAAACAAGTCGATATGGCGTAGATATAAGAGAACTTTCAAAAATGGATTTCATTAGCCCTGTAAATAAGCGCGGCCTTCGGCGTTAATATGGAGTGAGCATGTCCAAGCGCACCGATAATGCAGCGCGTACCATTTGTCAGAACTGGTCTGCAAGACCAGTCCAGTGTTAAAGGGACGTCTACGACTATTAATCAGTCAGTCCAGCCAGATCAGTTCAGCCCAGGCTAAGCATAATGAGCTTCAGCCGGATGGGTTTTTAACGAACTGACTCTATCTGACTCTCGAAAAACTAAAAGAAAATAATTTCCGTTATTTACCCTCGGCAGTATTTATAGCACTAATGCTAGTTGGGCCGAGCAAATGACTGAAACAAGTAATTTAAATCGAACATAATAGGGTTAAGAATCACAACTGGTTGGCGGCAAACCAGTTGGTTATTTACAAGCGTGGACAACTGAGGATTTGAACTCGGGATTACCGAGAATTCAATTCAATTCAATTCAATTCAATTTTATTCACACTTCTGTAAAATATTTACATTATATATAGTAAGGTAGGAATACACTAATAAAGAAGAAGAAGAAGGAAAAAAGAAAATTAATGGCTTGGATAGAAGTGTACGGTGGCTTATTATATTTACCTGATTTGGATCCACTAAATAGCCATGTTTCTTGGCAAACATTTTAGAAATCGAAATGTTTGTAGCAAAGATAACCACTGCGATGACAAAGGCATCTGAGAAGATGTTGGACACCAGAGAGAAATTGGGCACGCTCAGCGGGGGAAGACTGAAATTAAGAAAAAAAAGATACTGTTAGGCTATGAGTATGTCAGGGTCGCTTCTTCGCCTAAGAGGCGATATTCCCCGCGCTTGCTTGTTGCACAATCGCTGAATTTTTTGGGAAAAAAGAAGCTTAAGGGTGCTCTGAACCCGCTCCTTACGATTTTGTGAACTTTTTATAAGTTGATTTTGGATATGCTGAATAAAACGTTCTCATTAAAAACGGGAGCACCGAATTCTTTTGTGAGTTATTAACACTTAACGCCAAAATTAAATTTTACTACTGTCGCTATGGCAACCTTTTTCGTTTAAATAATGAATATAACTTGTTTACTAGTAATCTGCGGCGTCTGTTTGATGCCATTAATTGTACATGAACTGAAAAGGTGTAGCAGACATATTGACCACTCAAAATGAAAGTACTCAAAAATTCTGAAAATTTTTGCCAGCCATCTAAACAAAATTTGATTTGAACGGTATTCCAGTTTTAAATATTGCGTCATTTTCCTGGAAAATGTTTGTTTTTAAAATTTAGATACAGTTTTGGGTCAGCTGTGAAACGGACTTTTTTTGCAAGTTGATTTTGAAAAAAAATTGGGCTGTTGTTGATGCTTTAACTATGGCTTACCCCTTTGGTATAAAACCTAAGATAGACACTCCGAAGTTTTTGTTGATTGCTGCTCCATATGAGATTGCAGTACCCACGACCACCTAGGGAAGGAAGTAAAAGAGAAATAAAAGACCTTTTTCAACAACCTTCAGAAAACAATATCTGCATGTCGGCTATCTGCAATTACAATTAAACCGTACCTTCATTAAGCGGCCACGTTCGGAGTACTGGCAAGTGGCCTCTCAATAGAGGTTCGTCATAAATCAGTATAATCTTTAGTAGAAACGTCACATTATTCTCAGACAAAAGCGCGACGAAAGAAGCATCACTGGTCCAGAATTGGTTGTCACTTTCTATCTCAGACTGTTTTTCCCTTCATCATATTCTTGAAATCAAGCCAGACTTAAGTTCCCAATCTTTTCTACAATAATTTCGGGACTTTGATTACTGGCCGCTTAACAGAGGGCGGCCGCTTAATAGAGGTTACAATATAGTTGTTTCGTCCAACATGCACAGTCGTTTCGCATTTCACCGAGTGTCGCTCTCAGAACATAACTTTGTTCTTGTGTTACAAATGACGGGTGTGTGACAGGAAGGAAGAATCGTCAGTCAGGCAAATTAAATCAATAAAAAAATTCAGGTGAATTAATAAAATGATCACCTAGGGGAAAATGCCTTGATCTTATATCAAATTCTCTCAACTTATTCTTGAAGGAAATGTATAGAGATCAGTTTGGAGAATTTGTATGTGGATACTGGGGCTTAAAGGGTTATAAAGAGATTATGGGAGTTTAACACTGACCACAAGCAGTTCGCCTGGTATAGGAACTTTGAGCTTGTTTTTGAAGCGTTCGTTCACGTGTTTTAGCCCAATTAACACTGCGAGACACAACACGCCGGTTATAATGGAACCAACATTCGCATGAGGGAGATTCTTTAGCATATGGATGACGCCCTGAAAGACACAAAAGTTAAAGTCAAACATTCATTGAAGTCAGCAGAAATCAGGGGACAGACTGCACTGATGTTATAGTGAAATCGTATCCATAGTTCGCGTCATGCGCGCACCATTTTGAATTTTAATGACGTCACTGCACGCCGTATTGTTAAGAACCAACCTTTCTCTGTTATTTTACTACAGCTCCCAGAATCCTTCAGTTTGTTGTTTTCTTGTGCAAATAGGCCATTTGGCATTTATGGATGGAGGCGAGATTGGAGTTCACCTTGTTTTGGTACAAACCTTCCTGCTTTTTAATGTAAATCAAGTTATTCTTATGCTAACTAGTATTTTTCAAGGACAATTTCCATAACAAAGCAAAGAAGGTTTGTATCAAAACAAGGTCACCGTCAGCCTCGCATTCACTCGAAGACTAGGGTACTAAGTCCACCACTGTAAAATGGTCTATTAGGGCTATTGTTTTTAAACCTCGGTAGGATTGACAAATTTAAAAACGAAAGCAAAAACGAATGAATTATGGTAGTTTTGCAAGCTATAGCTGTTTTGAAAATGCATCTAACTTTTAACAATTAATTTCTTAAAACAGTGGAGGCTTGTTTAGCTCAAGCGTAGTGGTTGGTCCTCTTCGAATCATACATATTATAATCTTTTTACTAAAAATGCGTCTAGTTTCCAGTCTCTCGTCAGAAGAGTCAGAACGACTTCTAGTCTCACCTTTGGTGCAACGAATGGTTTTGCAAACTGCGGCACCTTGACACCAAGAATGTGCTTCATTTGGCTGATTACAACCAACACCGCTGACCCTGTGGTGAAACCGCTGATCAAAGGATCGGACAAGTACGTTGCCACAACACCCAGGTGAACAGCTCCCATGACAATCTAAGGTTAGAAAACCAACAGGAAAATCAACCCTGCGTGAAGAGGTCTCTTCTTTTCTTCCAAGGATTTAAAGGAGGAAAAAGAAGTCTTGCTTCGTCCGCAAGAGGGTTTGAAATTAACGCAGTGTTTTAAACAAAGGAATGTCTAAGGGAGATTCTTAGGGCAAGCCTCCCCACCCCTCCCCCCCCCGCCTTGTTCTGACTAGCGTGCACATTTCTAGGTGAGGGCGCAAGGTAGTCGGGTGTTGTGGAAAAAAATGACCTGGGCCAGAGCCTTCGTTAGCCGTGTCCAGCGGAACTGTTAGTGCTGACCAAAAGGATAGCAGTCTCTGGGAACGAGATTGGAAACTGTGATACGGAGTTATGTTATGATAAGATAGATTTTTTTACATTTCAAATTGAGGTAAATCTCTCCTCAAGGCCTTTTTTCTAACCTCGGAGAATAGTTTTTGTTTTGTCAATGCCGGTAGACTCAATCCCATTCGATTTACGGTTTTATTTGTGACTGACATTTCAGACTATCGGGTCTTCCTTTTTTCCTCATTCTATTGTAGAATCGCGCTACTAACCTGTATGATTCCTATAAGGAACGACAGCGTTATGGCAATTTCTAGTTTGGCTGCGTCTTTTGGGGTCCATAAGCTGCTGCTGGGAGTTGGAGAGGGACTGGGACCCGTACTATTTCCTGGAGTAGGAGTAGGGTCAAAAGACATTAAAGCCACTTCACGCTCACAGACTTGTGCCACCATCAGACAAATCACTGCGAAACTACCTGTCACGAGACGGCAAAAGAAAACAAGAGGCTTATTAATGAATGATATTATAACTCTAAATCTAATTTTCCTTAAAATTTGACTTTTGCACTCAAGAGATGGTGCACAGGGTACCCAATTACATTTGTACAAACTGCACAAAGGTCATTAAATAACAATAGGTCTTTTGGGTCTATTTAGGTAACTTACCTACGGACAGAGTTCTTGATGTTCCCATGATCATGTAAAGTAGGACAGGAATGATTGCGGTGTAAAGTCCAGTAACAGGAGGAAGAGATGCCAACATTGCAAAAGCCAGACCTTAAAAAACAAAGATTATTCAGTATAACAACTACCTTAATCGTAGATACGCTGGTTTTTGGCCATCTTAGCTTAAGAAGAAACAAAAAGCAAACTGCGGTGATAAATATAAGGAAATATTAACGCATTTCTGGAAAGAACTAAAACTTTATCTTCACCGGTTTCTTATGTTCCAACATATATCTTCAGAAGTAATTAACTGTTGAATAACAACAGAAGTTTGAATGTAGAATAAATAACTAATAAAAGAAACGATAGATGACATATGCCTATGTACAAATCCTGCAAGTCCCAACAACTAGCTTTATAAACAACCCTGGACATTTGAGCACGGGTGAGCCTGTCTTCGTAGGGAAAAAGAGACTTAATACGATCTATGCTTTGGAAAAAAACCCGAAGATCAGCCTGGTTTTTACTAGCGTATAAGCATAAGGACAAGCACATGTGTAAGCAACTGAAAACTGGGTCGACATAAGCATAAGCATAGGCACAAGCAAAACGGACAAGTTTGCTCTTGTACTTGTGCTTATGCTTGTAGCTTTGACTAATGAAAACTGGGTCGACATAGCACAAGGCCGTGGACCAATCTTAGGTCACTTTGAGCTTGACCTCATGTCAACATATCAAATACAATATGGCCGACGCTTCGTCCGCCACCTTGTTGGTTGAGGAGAGCTTGTATCGAGAACAGAGTCAAATATGCCATTCTGCGCGTGCGTATGTTCTAATGCTTATGCGCTAGTGAAAACCAGGCTTATCACCGCAGTTTGCTTTTTGTTTCTCCTTAACAACTGTTTTATTGGTTCTTACAAGGAAATTAAAAAAAGACTTCTTAGCGTTGAAAGATTCACTCTATATCCAAAGAGTCTAAGTTTACAATCTCAAAGTAACACTCCTTGGTTAAATTATTTATGATAATTTAACTGTAACCTACATATAAGGACCTGCTTGATCTTGCTTGGTTAATCAGTTTCTTGTATTATTGGGTATTTAAGTGGCAAATTTCTGCCAGGAGGTTCTTAATCCACTAGGTTCTTATTCGCGGGTGTTCACTATACTCAATAAGATTTAAAGAAAAAATAGCCAGACAAATCCTGTTGAAAGCTAAACGAAACACAATAGTTAAGCTTATACTACCGGACAAAATAAAACGAAATTTTCTTTTTCCCAAAGAAAAACCATAGTTCTCTTAGCCTTGAGCCCTTGAAAGTCTGTAGCCGTTTCTCCTTAAAAAATCGCGTGACTATCATTATTTTTCCTTCAGGCACCACACACCACCGATAAACAAAATCAACGACACACAAACATGTGACTACTTTTACTTGTTTCTACTCATTGAATTGTGCTATAAAACCCGTGTAGACCGTGTAGTTTTCATAGAAAGAGCGGAGTATAGCACTGACTCATTTTCAACTTTAGCTTCGTACACTGTAACGTTCTGTTTTCGTTTGGCCTGGGTAAAATCTCTCTAAAACAAGGGTTGACTCTTTCCTGTTAGGCTATTTTGATACTATTGGGTATAGAATGAACACCTATCCGATATGTGACTCTCCACTTTAGAGATCGGCGCGGTGCAACTTCCCTTCGTTACAGAAATGGCGCCGAAATCACCGTCCGTATGTATGAAACAGAAGCCCTGATATCCGGTACGGCTCTCGTGCTGGCGCAAAAGCTTTCCGGTATATATATTGTGCACATGGCCGGCTTAAATCTCGTGCAAATTTTGCCGGCAGTCTGTGTCATGCCTTAACACGCTTCTCAAGCCCTTTTATCTTTTTTTTTTTTAAGTAACTTATCATGATCGTCATACTAACAACTGCTTTGCTATAATTTCTGGACTTTAACCTTTAGCAGCAAACTATCTGGAACATGAAAAAAGTAATCGAATACATTTCAGCAGTCTTATTCTTTAAACTGAACTTTGAGACTTGCGATACCCCNGCAAAGATTTAGGAAATACTAGATGTACACAGTTATAATTCAGTGAAAGGTTTGAACCCACGAGTCATTTATATTATAGTTATTAAAATAATAATAATAATAATAACCATATTTAAAGAGGGAGCCCAACTCGCCCTGGCGGATCTTAGTGGGGCCCTCATAAATGAACAATGTTAATTAATTAAGTAATTACGTAATTTAAAAAAGGTAAACAAGACCGGCTTACAGTGGAAATTCAAAAAATAACTAAAATAACTAAAACTCGAAAGTTTGTCATAACCACAGCAAAAGACTTTTCATGTGTTACTATACACTAATCACCTTGAGGGATATGCATTATTCCAACTGTTAGCCCACCGCTCAAATCTTTCACCAGATTCTCTTTTATGCTGTACTTTGGTAGCCATTGAAAAATCGGGGCGAGGCTAACGAGGAAACGCGAAACCACATGCCAAGAACAAGAACACGAAGAGAGTCTTGTGTAAAGAGTGTGTAGTTGGTGCTTCAAACCTCCATCCCTTGCCGTGTCAACTGTCTTAAGAAGATATTCATCATAGACTCTCCGTCTGATTTGGATTTGGGTAGCCGTTTGATCGTGACGACCTGAAGTGCTTAGCTCCATCTCGGCTGCTGAAGCATTAATGATAATACTGAAGTAGCTCACTTGATTTTCCTCTTTTATTGCAACCTGTCACAAGGTTTGCAAATCACCATGCAGTTGCTTCTTACGCGTGAACACTTAATGTTTTTCCACGCAGCCTTTTCCTGGAAGCAGCCAATCACAGTCGTGATCTAGAGCAACTAGCTTCAAAATCATTGTTTACACTTTGACTCGATCGAAGCCGTCCACATAGCCAAGGACATCACAAAACCGACTAAGAAAATAGCGAACTGAAAAAACAAAAACAAAAACAAAAAACAAAAACAACAATACAGGTAAAAAACTCAAAAATATTAATAACAGGTTAGAACTAATAACCACCTAATAAAACGTTACAATTCAAATTACGGCAGAAAAACAGCAAGAGGTAAGACAATAGGCTATGTACTTTGAACTACAACTAACAAATACAGAGTTTTCTCCATGTTGGTTTAAACAGAGAGGTGTATCTCATGATTATAGCTGCAATCTTGAGAGAGTAGCAAATCACACTTATTAATTAGATTAGCATAAAGATGAACTTTGTACTGAAATATCTTGCTGCGCATGGTATATGAAGATCATAAGAATGTGGCAAAGATAGGTTAACCAAATTAGTAGAAGCTGTTATCATTACTCATTAGTATTGTTATTATCACCTGAGATTTTCACAGTGACCATCACGCTACTGTGTCTCAACACAAACCCAACAATGTTTCCTGCGTCCTTTTCCCTCGCTCTTTTTATTTGCACCGCAGCTAGGAAAGGAGCTAAAACTTAAGTTTTAAGTTGAAGTCGAGACTGCCCGTGTAAGAAGAAACCGGGCAAAACAAAGAACCCATTATCAAGCTGTTAAAGACTGGAACGGTCTAGACATGTGTGGAAATAAAAAAAACCTAAGTCTTTTAAGCGTAATTTTTGTAATTATGTTCAGTGTTGTTAAACTCTGAACAGTTTTATATCTTTTAAGAAAATCAGATATAACTTTGTGACTTTTAATTTTCTAACCATTTTAAAAGTTCTTTGTGATCATTTAGGTCTTTAATGTAGGACACTTTTGTGGCTTTTTATCGTTTTACACTTCTTTTTATCTTTTTCTATTTTCATGACCTGTGAAAATCACCCTGGTGAGTGAGTCTCCTAGTTATTATTATTATTATTATTATTATTATTATTATTATTATTATTATTATTATTATTACCATAACTTTTCAATCGATCAACGGAAAACCCTTCATAAGATTCCAAATTACCCCGTATCAGGATTGGACTTTTGTCAGGTTTATTATCCGGGGATACCTCATGTGGAAAACTAACGAAAATCTTTGGAGCCCTCAGTAAAATCAATCCATATATAAAGTTAGTAGACAAGTTAACGCATTTATTCGGCCTCGAATTTTGGTAGGCGTTTGGGTAAATGATGTGTATTCTAAATATCAACATGGTTTACATTTACATGGCCCTTAACCGGCGATTAAATTTCGACATGGGTACGATTTTATCATCCAGCGTTCTGTTCATTATAAGTCACGAAATGGAAAACTGAGTTGTTCATCTAAACTCACTGAAATTCTTTTGAGCAAATAGCCGGTAAATCTCCACATATATGAAGTAACTCGTGAAATTCTCCAAGAGACGATTTCAGTGCGCATGCAAACGCACGCACTTGGCATAAAAAAGGGCGAGAGTTTTAAAGCTATTGATAAATAATTTTCAAAGAACGAGACTGACGAGAAGGGAAGAAAAGGAAGAGAAAAGAGCGAAAGGGAAACTCGCCTGAGAGAGGGAGCCTTTCCTTCTCTCTCTCCAATCCCTTCTCCCCTTTCCCTCGCTATCCGGTCCGTTCGTTCCAAGTCAGATTGTTCCCAAAAAAAGTCAGTTCGTTCCACATATAAAAAGTCAAGTAAAATTTTCTAAATGTGTCAATGTGATCTGAGTACAGAGTAGCGAACGAAAGTATTTTTAGAACTATTTACATAATAGTGAGAGCGTGAGTACGTGTGTTGATTCCACTGCGTACGTTCAGTTTTAAAGTACTCCGTAGCCGGGGTGCCGGATTTTTAGCGTGGTTTTAGATTCAACATATATTTACACGTGTGAGAGAAACTTGTTCTTGTTCCCTGAGCTACAATCGTATTGGCTGGCGCCACCGAAAAACATGGAACCGGTTTGGTAAATTGTTATCCACACTTGCTGCGAAAAAGACGCCAATGCGCTTAGAAAATTTATCGCGGTTATCTCATTATTTCATTAGAACACATGATTTGCGTAAGCTAGGGCTAGTCAAGGTTAAGGTCATCATGAATTGTTTTGCCGATATTTTACTTTTTAGCAGCCATAAAATACATCTGTTAGCCCTATTGGGACTTTTTACAGAGTGAAATGTCAGATAATCCCTACCCTTTCATATACCTGAAGCCTAAAAATGATATCCTTTTCGGGTGGAGCCTCCCCGTATAAGCCATTAATAGGGAGTACCCTCCGGGTCCCTTTCGACGCCTGCTACGCAGACAGCGAAAGTTGTGACTCTTTAGAAAGTCATACTTTGGAAGTGGCGGAGGAGGGGGGGAGGGGGGGAGGGGAGTGACTAATGAAGGATAAGATATTTCGTCATCATGAATTCCTTTCCACAATTGTGGGGAGGGGCGTTGCATGACGACACTAAAAACGGCTGTGTAGTGGCAGACTATACCTTTACAAACTCAATTCAGAATTAATGAACGCGAAGTCCGAGTACAGGCTTACACTTCTGACTTGACTGACTTTGCATCAGTTAAAACATACCACTTCCGAGATTCGACTCCCTTGTCCGTTAAGCGTCAATATTCAAATTCGCTCATTTATCTGTTGAAAAATACTCCATCTTGCTGAATTCAATGACAGACTCTGCATTACGCCGCTCCTTCATAATGAAGTCGTTATTTTCTAGATGTCGTGACAGTCGTAGACAATCCATGCAGCTCTATAGAACCTTTCTCTATTTCTTAACGCATTCTCTTAAAAATAAAAAAAATAAAAAGAGTTAGTTGCAATGCAGGGGAAGTTCTGTACCGTGTCAATGTTATTCTGTGTTCTAATCATGATAGCTTATACTCTCTTGTGACCGTTTACGTCACCATGACGTCATTTCCTCCATCACTTGAGCCTGATGGGCAACTGATAGCTGAGAATAGACCTATTCGGCTCAGGCCTGTATTCGACTAACTCAATGTTGTACCCAATTCAAATCTCCTGGCGATATGATTCTTTGTGTATTGTATTTGCATTATAATGTGGCATTCACATTTAAATGATATGGAAGTTCCTGAAACAAAACGTTTTATTCCCAAAGGGTTTGAATTGGGTACAACATTGAGTTAGCCGAAGAGGTCTATTGGCCAAAATTTTAACTGACAGCCGACTTGATTTTACCGGTGAGAAACGTTTGCAAGTTGCGCTATACACTAATACTGTGGTTAGTGAATAATCCGGTGAAGGCATCAGATCCATCTTTTGAACATGTGGGGCCAGTTTGGTAAGGGGTCCACTGACGGATAACTTCTCATTAGTTATTTATCCCCGAGAAGACATTCATTCAGGGAAAAACAATAACCACAAACAAAATTTTTTTTTGAACCACACATAACTATATTTTTTTAATTTCAACCATTATAGCTATACATTCAATAACCAATATTTTGAGACAGTTTTTGCTACATTTAAAATGTACTTGTGAAGTATTATAAATTGTCACAACAGATTGCATTCTCATCCACTGACAGCGGGGAGGAGGTCACTAGACAGGCGGCGGAGCTGACGCTGTTTGCACTGCCCCATATGATGGTTTAGGAGTGTAAACCCCTCCTGATCTACCCTGTGTTGCTGCACTATAAGGGGGAGGTTGATCATTTGTTGCAGTTGTCCCAGGGTTATATGGTGGAGGAATGGCCGTCTGATGTTGTTCATACTGAGGTGGGGGGTAGTATTGGTAGCCTTGTTGGTAGGGTGGAGGTATCTGCCCCACATAGGGTGGGTAAGGCTGCGCTGTAGTTGTTGTTGTCCTCACGGTCGCTGTTGTAACTCTCTGTCCAACAATCACTCTTCCATGGTGAACTCGACGCCTTCTGCAAGCGTAGTAAATGCATACCGAGAAAACGCCAAAGATGAAAATCGTACCGAAAATAGAACCAAGTATTACGGCAGTGGCATCGTAACATGAATCATATGAACATGTTCCGTCACAACAGTACTCGAATGATCCACCGGCACAGTCAGAGTTTACAGAACAAGACTGTCCAATACAGTCATTTCCATCCTTGCACTGACTATTACAACAGCTTTCACCGATTGAACAATGGGAGTTCAAGGTGCAATATTGATCATAGCAGTCTAATCCCAGAACACATTTGTTATTGCAACATACGTAGCCAGAATCGCAGGAATAACTGCCTCGAGTGCACAAACTCGGATTAGTCGAACTCACTACAACCCGGGAATATAAAATGAACACAGATAACAAAGCTTGAAACCCTTGGAAGGTAGCCATAACTCTCTACACTTTTTCTTCCACTGTTTTTCCGCTTTCGTTCGGTGAATGGATAACTACATGAATGGCGCAACGATTCCCGGAAATCTTAAAAATGCGGAGCACGAGTTACGCTATGACGTCATTCTACACAAGCAAGGCCCGAAGAAGAAAAAAGTCACGCAAGCTAAGACGAGATTCACCACTACTGTAACAGATATTCGTCTCGAAGAAGTACTCGAAGAGTTCATAAGTTGTGTATAGGACGATCAGTTTTAAGTTAATATTGGAATTCATTTTCTCTTTTTGAAATGATCACATAGCTAAATTGTGTAATTTAATCACTCGTTATGTCAAGTATCCAAATGAACGTTACTGGGGAAATCGATTTTTTGACCCGTGTCATGGATCAAAATAAATCCTGTCATGTAGTCGTAGTTCTTTTGTCGCTACACCCACCAGGCCAGGCGATGAAGATAAGGAGAATCATTGTTATAAGATTTCGAGTGATGGGTAGCGGTTCAGGCTACAACTGTGTATTCGTCTTCGCAGCCGCTCGGGTCGGAGTTCACGTTGCTGGAACAGAGAGACTAAAAACGGCCTCTGCTCACAAACTGCGATGCTGGTGTACTCCAGTTGTGCGATTGTGGCAGTATAATTTACGCAACATTTAATGTAAAAAAAGTTCCAACCGTTGCCCTGTCACTTGTGTTAATACACGTATCACTCACTTTATCAGAAACTTCTACATAATTGACATGTTCGATTACCGCCAGTGTGGTAGCAATAAACGTGTGAATCTGCTAACATTCATTTGACTTTTAATTCGGTTATTAGGGTTAAACGATATTTGAGGAAAACTGAACAAGGCCTCAGTTTTATTTTCTGTAACGGTCACGGTATCTAAACTTTAATTGGTATGTGAAAACACCGTTGCATGGGCATCAGGGAGTTGGTTACTGAAAATTTACAGTAACTTACAATTCTACAGGTCTGATGGCTGACCCGGTTTCTACTAATAATTTGTTTTAGACAGCCTGGCCTTGTCCTGGCGCAGTTTGTAATGCCCAGTGTGATATAACATCAGCGTTCTTCTCCATTTGATGTCCCCGGCTCTGCTCTCGCGGTACTGGAGTAGGAGTGACAACTCTTTCCAACAGCATCATAAAGAACAGAGACAAGGGGAATTAACCGCATAGCTTGAAACGCAGAAAATGCAGCCATGACTCCCTAGTAGTTACCTTTGTACCTAGCTTAATAAACTTTCGTTGAGTGTGCAATGTGATTTTTTAAGATTCCTTTCAATCGCGTACTGGCTGATCAGTAGTAAATAACAGCATAGATAAGCATAGAATAAGTGGTTTACTTATTTCACCGCAGCGATTGAGACGAAGCTAGATTTCTCGTGATTGTGCTTGTGTTTTTGCGTTTGCTTTAGACTTACGTAATAAGAATAAGCCTTATCAAGCGGGCCGGCGGGGTGAAACGGCAGAATTAGGAGAATATCTTGTGATTTGCACAAACCGGAGCATGATTGTGCATAACCCACATGTGATGCTGTGCTGATAGGGTCAATATTCACGACGTTGGTCGGGCCTGGTCGGATTTGTGCTACCATACGACGTTTCACAATCTTTACAAATAACAACCTTTCCAAGTCTTTCCGGTGTAGCAAAACTGAGAATGATGCGCGTATTATGGAGTTTGGTTGTTTCAGAGCTAATCAACGGAGGAAAAGCTGTCTGATATCGCTGATCAAACCAAGAGTCCGCAGTGGAGCAGAGTGCCGACCAACCTTGTTGGTGTGACGGTGACATCTGTGTGGTTGGTTTACCTGTGGCATATCTTTTGTTATCGTGACCACACAGGCACCCACGATCCATTGCTCCTTTTTCCCGCTGTCAGGAGAGATTTTTGTTTTTTGTGGTTGGCAATTGCTGCAAACGCACGTGAAAAAAAAGTAAGCGAAAGTGATCGTCCCAAAAAGGCTGGAAAACGTGAGCAACAAAACCAAAGCGAAGAGAGACGAAAACATCTTTGGTTGTGGTCTCTTCAGTCTGATTGTCAAATGAAATTTTCAAAGACCTTGGATTGAGATGCACGTGCACGGAAACCACAGGTAGCCCAAGTTCACGAGAGTTATTGCGAGCCGGGGTATAACAATTTCAACAATCACTATTTCGGAATCCATAGTAACAGAAATACTGAAGAATTCCTTTCTTTGTCCCTTCGTTATTAATTGCAGGTTATGAGTATTTTGGGCCGTTTCAGCGCGATTCCAGCGAGTTTAATTTAGTCGTGCCTTTTGCTTGTTACAAAAACTCTTCACTGACTCTTAATGTTATGCAACAACCGATTCCGGCTCACTCGTGAGCTATTTAGTAGCTGCCACCCGTGCGCTATATTAGTTGACTTTTACCACTCACGGGGTCCAGTCGATACTGGAAGTGCAGTTCGAAATTAAATAAACCAGTTAAGATTTTAAAAACATTGATTGACTAATTTATGAAAATTAATCCTGATACGGAATTTACTCATGGACACTAATACATACAGGCAACCATGAACATGAAGCAGGAGAAGAAAGCAAACGGCAATCGATCAACGAATATGTTTGTAGGAGTTTTACTTTTCACAGTGTTTTGTGCTAGGTTAGTTTTTTTATGAATTTACACGTGATACTCAACTGCTTATATGGACCATAAGCACCTGTTAATTTG